GACATATTACATACACTCTTATACTCACATTCGGACATATTACATACACTCTTATACTCACATTCGGACATATTACATACACTCTTATACTCACATTCGGACATATTACATACACTTATACTCACATTCGGACATATTACATACACTCTTATACTCACATTCGGACATATTACATACACTCTTATACTCACATTCGGACATATTACATACACTCTTATACTCACATTCGGACATATTACATACACTCTTATACTCACATTCGGACATATTTCATACACTCTTATACTCACATTCGGACATATTACATACACTCTTATACTCACATTCGGACATATTTCATACACTCTTATACTCACATTCGGACATATTACATACACTCTTATACTCACATTCGGACATATTTCATACACTCTTATACTCACATTCGGACATACATATACTCACATTCGGACATATTACATACACTCTTATACTCACATTCGGACATATTACATACACTCTTATACTCACATTCGGACATATTACATACACTCTTATACTCACATTCGGACATATTACATACACTCTTATACTCACATTCGGACATATTACATACACTCTTATACTCACATTCGGACATATTACATACACTCTTATACTCACATTCGGACATATATTACATACACTCTTATACTCACATTCGGACATATTACATACACTCTTATACTCACATTCGGACATATTACATACACTCTTATACTCACATTCGGACATATTACATACACTCTTATACTCACATTCGGACATATTACATACACTCTTATATATTCGGACATATTACTCACTCTTATACTCACATTCGGACATATTACATACACTCTTATACTCACATTCGGACATATTACATACACTCTTATACTCACATTTATATTACTCACTCTTATACTCACATTCGGACATATTACATACACTCTTATACTCACATTCGGACATATTACATCACACTCTTATACTCACATTCGGACATATTACATACACTCTTATACTCACATTCGGACATATTACATACACTCTTATACTCACATTCGGACATATTACATACACTCTTATACTCACATTCGGACATATTACATACACTCTTATACTCACATTCGGACATATTACATACACTCTTATACTCACATTCGGACATATTACATACACTCTTATACTCACATTCGGACATATTACATACACTCTTATACTCACATTCGGACATATTACATACACTCTTATACTCACATTCGGACATATTACATACACTCTTATACTCACATTCGGACATATTACATACACTCTTATACTCACATTCGGACATATTACATACACTCTTATACTCACATTCGGACATATTATTACTCATACTACGGACTATTACATACACTCTTATACTCACATTCGGACATATTACATACACTCTTATACTCACATTCGGACATATTACATACACTCTTATACTCACATTCGGACATATTACATACACTCTTATACTCACATTCGGACATTACATACACTCTTATACTCACATTCGGACATATTTACATTCATACTCACATTCGGACATATTACATACACTCTTATACTCACATTCGGACATATTACATACACTCTTATACTCACATTCGGACATATCATTACATACACATTCTTATTACTCACATTCGGACATATTACATACACTCTTATACTCACATTCGGACATATTACATACACTCTTATACTCACATTCGGACATATTACATACACTCTTATACTCACATTCGGACATATTACATACACTCTTATACTCACATTCGGACATATTACATACACTCTTATACTCACATTCGGACATATTACATACACTCTTATACTCACATTCGGACATATTACATACACTCTTATACTCACATTCGGACATATTACATACACTCTTATACTCACATTCGGACATATTACATACACTCACTCTTATACTCACATTCGGACATATTACATACACTCTCTATATACTCACATTCGGACATATTACATACACTCTTATACTCACATTCGGACATATTACATACACTCTTATACTCACATTCGGACATATTACATACACTCTTATACTCACATTCGGACATATTACATACACTCTTATACTCACATTCGGACATATTACATACACTCTTATACTCACATTCGGACATATTACATACACTCTTATACTCACATTCGGACATATTACATACACTCTTATACTCACATTCGGACATATTACATACACTCTTATACTCACATTCGGACATATTACATACACTCTTATACTCACATTCGGACATATTACATACACTCTTATACTCACATTCGGACATCATTACATACACTCTTATACTCACATTCGGACATATTACATACACTCTTATACTCACATTCGGACATATTACATACACTCTTATACTCACATTCGGACATATTACATACACTCTTATACTCACATTCGGACATATTACATACACTCTTATACTCACATTCGGACATATTACATACACTCTTATACTCACATTCGGACATATTACATACACTCTTATACTCACATTCGGACATATTACATACACTCTTATACTCACATTCGGACATATTACATACACTCTTATACTCACATTCGGACATATTACATACACTCTTATACTCACATTCGGACATATTACATACACTCTTATACTCACATTCGGACATATTACATACACTCTTATACTCACATTCGGACACTCACATTCGGACATATTACATACACTCTTATACTCACATTCGGACATATTACATACACTCTTATACTCACATTCGGACATATTACATACACTCTTATACTCACATTCGGACATATTACATACACTCTTATACTCACATTCGGACATATTTCATACACTCTTATACTCACATTCGGACATATTACATACACTCTTATACTCACATTCGGACATATTTCATACACTCTTATACTCACATTCGGACATATTTCATACACTCTTATACTCACATTCGGACATTCGGACATATACTACATTCACATTTATACTCACACATTCGGACATATTACATACACTCTTATACTCACATATAAATCTCGGATTCGGACATATTACATACACTCTTATACTCACATTCGGACATATTACATACACTCTTATACTCACATTCGGACATATTACATACACTCACTCACATTCGGACATATTACATACACTCTTATACTCACATTCGGACATATTACATACACTCTTATACTCACATTCGGACATATTACATACACTCTTATACTCACATTCGGACATATTTCATACACTCTTATACTCACATTCGGACATATTACATACACTCTTATACTCACATTCGGACATATTACATACACTCTTATACTCACATTCGGACATATTACATACACTCTTATACTCACATTCGGACATATTACATACACTCTTATACTCACATTCGGACATATTACATACACTCTTATACTCACATTCGGACATATTACATACACTCTTATACTCACATTCGGACATATTACATACACTCTTATACTCACATTCGGACATATTACACATACACATTCTTATACTCACATATACTCACATTCGGACATATTACATACACTCTTATACTCACATTCGGACATATTACATACACTCTTATACTCACATTCGGACATATTACATACACTCTTATACTCACATTCGGACATATTACATACACTCTTATACTCACATTCGGACATATTACATACACTCTTATACTCACATTCGGACATATTACATACACTCTTATACTCACATTCGGACATATTACATACACTCTTATACTCACATTCGGACATATTACTCTTATACTCACTCATATACTCACATTCGGACATATTACATACACTCTTATACTCACATTCGGACATATTACATACACTCTTATACTCACATTCGGACATATTTACATACACTCTTATACTCGGACATATTACATACACTCTTACATTCGGACATATTACATACACTCTTATACTCACATTCGGACATATTACATACACTCTTATACTCACATTCGGACATATTACATACACTCTTATACTCACATTCGGACATATTACATACACTCTTATACTCACATTCGGACATATTACATACACTCTTATACTCACATTCGGACATATTACATACACTCTTATACTCACATTCGGACATATTACATACACTCTTATACTCACATTCGGACATATTACATACATTCTCTTATACTCCACATTCGGACATATTACATACACTCTTATACTCACATTCGGACATATTACATACACTCTTATACTCACATCGGACATATTACATACACTCTTATACTCACATTCACATATTACATACACTCTTATACTCACATTCGGACATATTACATACACTCTTATACTATTACATATTTTACTCACTCTTATATTCGGACATATTACATACACTCTTATACTCACATTCGGACATATTTACATACACTCTTATACTCACATTCGGGACATATTACATACACACATTTTATACTCACATTCGGACATACTCACATTACATATTACATACACTCTTATACTCACATTCACATATTACATACACTCTTATACTCACATTCGGACATATTACATACACTCTTATACTCACATTCGGACATATTACATACACTCTTATACTCACATTCGGACATATTACATACACTCTTATACTCACATTCGGACATATTACATACACTCTTATACTCACATTCGGACATATTACATACACTCTTATACTCACATTCGGGACATATACATACACTCTTATACTCACATTCGGACATATTACATACACTCATACTCACATTCGGACATATATTACATACACTCTTATACTCACATTCGGACATATTACATACACTCTTATACTCACATTCGGACATATTACATACACTCTTATACTCACATTCGGACATATTACATACACTCTTATACTCACATTCCTCTATGCAGTCAGCCTTGACTTGTTCTGTATGTCGCATTCTTAACAACCACCACAACATAAAGGCCTCTTCTTCTTTGAGGTTCTGATAAAATAAAAGTGGAATCTGGATAATATCAAGCAATTCAAACTCTTCACTGTATCTGTCTTTATTCAAGTAAACTCTTTGTGCCTTTCCTTAACTCTCACAAGCTGACTTTAAACAATCTCAGTATTCAGAAATACTGACAATCCCATTTCACAATTTACATTTCATCAGCTACATTCTACATCTAATTTGTTCCAGCTGGTACAATTAAAAATAACTCAAGCTAGAACATGTGATTATAACATCAATTTCAATACGTGATTACAACATGACATAAATGCATAATATAAAGAAAATTATCTCCCTGTTTACTGTGAACTAGGTTTTTCATTCTGGGACATCCGTGATTAAAATGTAAGGAGGAAACATTTCATCACCATCAATCAGGTGCCACCTCCACAATGAAGGATGGCTGCAATGGATCTCCAACATACTCTGTATCTTGTCTTGGCTGTATAATCTCTCAAAATCGCTGTTCATCTCTTTCTGTTGTCATCCCATTTGTATCATTGTTTACCTCTTGCCTTCTTGCCCTCAACCGTTCCCTCCAGCATGATTTTTAAATGCATATTATGTCTTTTAAGGTAGCCAAAATATTTCAATTGTCTCTCTTTTGTGTGTGTGTGTCAGTAATTTCCTTCTCATTTATAGTCTATCCAGAACCTCTGTATTGGACTGTTTTTCTTCTCTTCCCTACTCCTGGAATGCCAAGCAGCATCAGGGGAGGTAGAGATCTCTAGAACACGCCCATTTGTTTGCTTCCTATATCAAACTTTTCAGTGTCTGATATTTCTGAGGTCCATCCTGTGAGGTAAACCTCCGGCTCTGTATAATACTGCTCTCTCTAGTGCCCTGTCTGATGCCAATCTTGTAACATGGCCAAAACTATTTGGTCTGTTGTCTGTTAATAAGGTTCAATACTGGTTCTGTGCAGACTCTCCTTCTGGCATCATTGTTCTGAAAACAATCTTTTCATGTTATAACTAGCATTGTACAAAACATTTCATTCCTATTGTGACTATTTTCCTTCTGTGTTTTGAAGAAGTGTTCATGTTTGACATTGATAGCAAAGCGTTGGTAAGAATACTGGTTTTGCTTCCATGAAATATGACCTATTCTTCTGTATATCCACATTTCCACAGACTCAGTTCAATTTTTGAGTTGTCTGTTTACTGTCCAAGTTTCTGCACCAAACAGCTGGGTTGAGTATACATAGGATTTTACAATTCATATTTTTTATCTGTTGTTGGCTCTCTAGCTGTCAATTTTTGCATCTTACTGAAGATAGTTGAAGCCCTTCCTATTCTCTCTGATTTCTGTTTCACTTCTGCCGTCATCTGTTACTAGGTGTCCAAGATAGGAGAAACATGTTACATGTTCTAATATCTCCCTGTTTACTGTGAAGTCACAGGAGAAACTTGTTACATGTTCTAATATCTCCCTGTTTACTGTGAAGTCACAGGAGAAACTTGTTACATGTTCTAATATCTCCCTTTTTACTGTGAAGTCACAGGAGAAACTTGTTACATGTTCTAATATCTCCCTGTTTACTGTGAAGTCACAGGAGAAACTTGTTACATGTTCTAATATCTCCCTGTTTACTGTGAAGTCACAGGAGAAACTTGTGACATGTTCTAATTTCTCCCTGTTTACTGTGACGTTTACTGCTGGTCGCTCTTTTCCACTGTTAATTACCAGTTTTTATTTTCTGAATGTTAATGTATAAACTATACATACTCCTGTGGACTTGAACCTTTAGTTCTTGTAATCCTGCTTGCTTTCTGCTAGTAACATTGTGTCACCAGCATATCTCAGATTGTTTGTTATTCTTCCATTAACATTCAGTCCTAACATTTCTACAAAACTCGATAAATCAAAACCCGTATTTAATTATAACACTGCATAACAGCAGAAAGGCACAGCTTTTTAATTCAACAGCATTTAGAATTTCCTAACCAAATCAGATTTATACTCTTATTTTTACAGTTATGTGAATTACTGATATGCACCTTACGTAGAGAAACTAAATACTCAATGACTGCTTTTAGCTGTAGAGGCATATTCTGAGGCAAATCAACTTCTTCTTCATACATCATATCTGATGAGAGAGACAACACACAGTTATACAGTTGTAGCTGCAGATTTTGTAGTTTTAACTAAGTTAATGCATCATGTGCCCCTGACACCTGTGCTAGAAGAGGTGACACACCAGATCTACCTAACCCTGAAAAATAGTCTCGCCCTTTCTGTGAGTGCCTGCTGGCCAAAACAGACAAGGACTTCAAGAAGTGAAATGCCAGCAGAAAGTGAGCTATCTGGTTTATACGGAGTCAGAGTCGTGGGTTGCTTGTACCTCTAACAAAGCCAGGTCACCACCAAAACACCTATGGCAGAAAAAATGCCCTAAGAGCTGCAATGGAAAAACAAGGCAGATAAGGAAAATACAGCAGGAAGAAATCAAAACCCTTACAGCAGAAAAATAATGACAGCAAGCCCAGACAATGAAAGCCAGAAAATGAGAAATATCCTTAAAGATATCAAAGAAGTTCAAGAAAGCAAAAATAACTTGGCCGCATACTTTAACAAACTTTTGAAAAAATCATCCCAAACGTTTTCAAACAAGCAGTAACTGATCAACCAGTATATACCAATTAATGAGGTTGACAATATCATGTGTATGGGTGGTCGTTGTGACAAAGTGACTGTAATGTATGACTACGTTTTGACAATATCATGTGTATGGGTGGTAGTTGTGACAGAGTGACTGTCATGTATGATCAAATGTTGACAATATCATGTGTATGGGTGGTAGTTGTGACAGAGTGACTGTCATGTAGGATCAAGTTTTGACAATATCATGTGTATGGGTGGTAGTTGTGATAGAGTGACTGTTATGGTAAATTTCAAAGTGTTTAAAATATCTTTGTGTAAGTACATTGCGCAGGTTTTTAGGTATCTTTAAAATTTACATTTCCTTGACTTTACATGTCCCCTTCCTTCACTGCATAAACTTCTAAAGATCACTTACTTGCAAGACAAGATTACGGAAGGCCAAGGGGCTCAGACAAAGCAGCCGACGCAAAAACACAAAAAAGGCTCAGAGAGTTAAAGTAGCTGGCAACCGCTGGTCTAAGTAATTGCTGTACAATTATTGAGTCAAGTCTAGGAGACTAGAAATACCAGCAGATGGAGGAGCAGTTATGTAATCTTTCTCAACTGAGATGAGGAGGAAACTTCTATGCAGTTACATAAAGCCGACCCTGATGTATGGCAAGAATCAAAAACAGTCAGCAGATGAGTGGCAAAAGAAAACATATGTGGAACTGCAGAGATGAAGTTTTATAGACAAATTCTAGAAAGATTATTTATTTGTTGAATATAATTACACAGCTTGGTGACTTTTGCTCATATAAAGATGAATACGGTTACCATATAATTCCCTTTTAAACAGTAGAAGTATCAGTTAAAGAAGACATTGAATGTGAGAGATTATACTGGACGGTCTGAGTAGGCAGCAACAAGGAATCTCCTCAACAGAACTGATCCAGAAAACCAGGGGGTTTGACAATACGTGAATGCTAAAAGCACACAGCAAGCCACATGATGATGATTGATGATCCAACATATGACCCAGTACTTTACCAGTCAGTGTCTATAATGTACAACCATACTCCAGATGTGCCACTTAACACACAAATTATCAGCCAGTACTTGTCAGTGAAGTGCCTATCATGTCAGTCAACACATATATCATCAGCCAGTACTTGTCAGTGAAGTGCCTATCATGTCAGTCAACACATATATTATCAGCCAGTACTTGTCAGTGAAGTGCCCATCATGTCAGTCAACACATATATTATCAGCCAGTACTTGTCAGTGAAGTGCCCATCACGTCAACACAGATTATCAGCCAGTACTTGTCAGCAAAGTGCCCATCATGTCAGTCAACACACAGATTATCAGCCAGTATTTGTCAGTGAAGTGCCCATCATGTCAGTCAGTAATCAGCTAGTGTCAAGAAAGAATTACTTCTCAGATACTTACAGCACCACTGATTCTTCAAGGCTGTCAAGTCTGTGTCATCCCCAGCCTCTTTGCTGCATAGTTCTTCTAACCAACCTGCAGCTTCCACTTCCAACTTCTGAAACAATCACAGAAAATTGTCAAGCAAAGATCCCTTGACATTCCAATAGTGCACCAAGTAAATAAGGCTAGACTCATACTTTTATAAACCAATCCACCCTCAATGCGTGAGAATTGACATACAAAAATATTTTGAACTTAAAAAACCCACCAACAAGAAAGAAATCCAAAGCCTTCTTGGGTTAATAAATTATTATAAGTTCATCTCAAAATTTCAGCCACGAAATCACAGCCTTTACAAAATTGTAAAAAAAAAATGCTCTGCAAATACAATAGACTGGATCCCAGAACTTGACCACACCTTCTCCAGGATTAAAGTCTTTTTCTCCAGTCCCCCCATTTTAAAATTACCTAATTTCAAAGAACCTTTTATCTTCAGGTGTGATGCTAGTGGAACATGTGTAGCAGGATGTCTGATGCAGAGTGAAGGAGACATACTGCACCCAATCTGCTATGTAAGCAGTAAACTGACACCTGCAGAAGAGAGGTACTCCATGGCAGAACATGAATGTCTAGCAATGATATTCTGCATAAAGGTTAGTTGCGTATCCTTTACAGGACGTTGCAGAACCAACCCCAGCAACCCCTGGCTGTTACGTGGTTTCTCTAGGAAAATTTACGTCCAGTAGTTTGCCATTGCTCTCTGGACAGTTGGCCACCTGATACCACTGTTGAAACCAAAGCAAGGCTCATGGCCCGCAGCTAGGATCGAACCCGGCACCCCAAAATTATGAAGCATTTGCATCGACTTAGCCAAAGAGCCGACGATATTCTGCATAGCAAAGCTTAAAGCTAAATAAATTATTTCTCTGGAAAAAAAAATGGTGTGCTTCAGACTGATAACCAACCATTATTAGTAATTTAATCTGGAATACCCAAAAACAGTCAAATAGCTCGATGGGTATTACTTCTGCAGAACTATTCTTTTGAAATCAGCCATGCAACAATTCTGCTATATGTCCTCATCATGCACTAGACATTTTTGGATATTATTTGGTGTCACGACTGGGGTAGGGGTGAAGATAGGGGGACTTGTGGGACTGCTGTCAAAGTACTAAATGTGTGATTGTCAAGATTGGGGTAGGGGTGAAGGTAGGGGGCTTGTGGGACTGATGTCAAAGTACTAAATGTGTGATTGTCAAGATTGGGGTAGGGGTGAAGATAGGGGGACTTGTGGGACTGCTGTCAAAGCACTAAATGTGTGATTGTCAAGATTGGGATAGGGGTGAAGATAGGGGGACTTGTGGGACTGCTAAATGTGTGATTGTCAAGATTGGGGTAGGGGTGAAGATAGGGGGAATGTGGGACTGCTGTCAAAGCACTAAATGTGTGATTGTCAAGACTGGGGTAGGGGTGAAGATAGGGGGACTTGTGGGACTGCTAAATGTGTGATTGTCAAGACTGGGGTAGGGGTGAAGATAGGGGGAATGTGGGACTGCTGTCAAAGCACTAAATGTGTGATTGTCAAGACTGGGGTAGGGGTGAAGATAGGGGGACTTGTGGGACTGCTAAATGTGTGATTGTCAAGACTGGGGTAGGGGTGAAGATAGGGGGAATGTAGGACTGCTGCCGAAGCACTAAATGTGTGATTGTCAAGACTGGGGTAGGGGTGAAGATAGGGGGACTTGTGGGACTGCTGTCAAAGCACTAAATGTGTGATTGTCGTGATGTGCACACAGGCTACAAAGGCCACATGAACTACCTGAAGTAAGGAAAAGTGAGCTCGGGTTGTGAACCTGCTGGAAACAGTTGTCGACCGGACGTCCTAGCGGACTTTCTGGACAACTGTAGTGTGGCCATGCCTCATGAATAATGGTTTTAGTTGTTAAGTTAGACAGCGTTAGATAATATGCTGTCTTACTTAGAACGATGTAGAAATGACAGAATAATAAAGTTAAAAGTAACAGAGCTCAACATGGATTTACATCAGATGTTCTCATGTGAATTGTGTCCACAATCTGATACTATTTGTTGGTGTTGTTGTCATGGCTGTAACTGCAGTGGTAATGTGCTTTGTGTATCAACAATGAAATATGTGACAGCACTCATAATACGAGGTGTTCATCAAGCTTAGGGAGTCAGAGGCAAAAATGATAAGTATAAATCAGCATGTCGGTCAGTGCAAGTTGAATGACCTTTATAAACACATGCTCTGACCTAGCCACCCGCCTCTCGACCCCTGATCATGCACTAGAAAGCTATGGATATTATATAGACACCAGAAGGGAAAATAAACGGGGAAGACCAAGAGAGACTGCATAGAACCATCATCAGGGAAGGCTCAACTACGGGCCTAATGAACACCCAAGACCTTCAACAGGTGGCCATGAACTGCCAGACATGGAGAGCTATGACCTCTGCCCTATGCACCACCATCATCATCATCATGTAGCAGGTCCTTTGCAAAATGTCGCTCTCATCATAGTCTGAATGAAAGAAACTCGGTCTCTTGCCAGTTCTCCCGCCTCATGAACTTTCATACTCAAAGAGTCACTTATATCCTGTGCCCATCTTCGTGTTGGTCGGCCCCTGCCCCTCCTTCCTGGTACCATGCCTTCTGCTATAATTTTTTCCAATCCGTCGTGGCTCTTGATATGACCAAAATATTTCAGCTTTCGAGAAAGGATGCTGTTTATTAGCCAATCTTTCTTGATGTTCAGATATTTCAAGATGTCAGTATTTCTCCTCTTCTTTGTCCAAAATATTCTAAGAATCTTTCTATAGCATTTCAGCTCAAAAGCCCCTATTCTCTTTCTTAAGGACTGAGAGATATGCATCACCCTAACTAAAAAAAAAAAGACTTAACTAATAAGCCTGAACAGAGCTGGCAGAAATCATGGTGTGGCATTCAACAATCCACTCTAAAATTGCCTGTAAATGACATCTATCAATAATGCGCTCTCATTTAATAATATCAGATATAACCTCAGTTCTAATGCACAAGAACAAAAGCCCTGTTAGATGACCAATCGGTTCAAGTGTCAACCACTACAGAATGGATCTTGCCTGTGTCTATCCTGTAACATCCAATTTTACAAGGCATCTATGTGGTATACAATGTCTCTTGATGGTCACCAGATAAAGCACTGCTAGTCCACGAGGAGCAAGTCCAACATGCTGAGCAATCAAATTGTATATTGTGTACAGATGATCCAAGTCCAAGATGTAGAGTACATAAGGCTGTATATTGTGTACAGATGATCAAAGTCCAAGATGTAGAGTACATTAAACTGTATATTGTGTACAGATGATCCAAGTCCAAGATGTAGAGTACATTAAACTGTATATTGTGTACAGATGATCCAAGTCCAAGATGTAGAGTACATTAAGCTGTATATTGTGTACAGATGATCCAAGTCCAAGATGTAGAGTACATTAAGCTGTATATTGTGTACAGATGATCCAAGTCCAAGATGTAGAGTACATTAAACTGTATATTATGTACAGATGATCCAAGTCCAAGATGTAGAGTACATTAAACTGTATATTGTGTACAAATGATCCAAGTCCAAGATGTAGAGTACATTAAGCTGGTCTTGGAGGGGGCAGCACTTGATGAATGGAAGTCTCCATACAGAAGCAAGACAAAGCAAACATCTGCAGGACAAAGCAAACATCTGCAGGACAAAGCAAACATCTGCAGGACAAAGCCAACATCTGCAGGACAAAGCAAACATCTCCAGGACAAAACGATTCTTGGAGGAGCCCAGTATCAGAGCATCTTGTGTGTGTGCAGGACAAAACAATTCTTGGATGCCCACTACCAGAGCATCTTGTGTGTGTGCAGGACAAAACGATTCTTAGGGGAGCCCAGTATCAGAGCATCTTGTGTGTGTGTGCAGGACAAAACAATTCTTGGAGGAGCCCAGTACCAGAGAATCTTGTGTGTGTGCAGGACAAAACGATTCTTGGAGGAGCCCAGTATCAGAGCATCTTGTGTGTGTGTGCAGGACAAAACAATTCTTGGAGGAGCCCAGTATCAGAGCATCTTGTGTGTGTGCAGGGCAAAACGATTCTTGGAGGAGCCCAGTATCAGAGCATCTTGTGTGTGTGCAGGACAAAACAATTCTTGGATGCCCACTACCAGAGCATCTTGTGTGTGTGTGCAGGACAAAACAATTCTTGGAGGAGCCCACTACCAGAGCATCTTGTGTGTGTGTGCAGGACAAAACGATTCTTAGAGGAGCCCAGTATCAGAGCATCTTGTGTGTGTGTGCAGGACAAAACGATTCTTGGAGGAGCCCACTACCAGAGCATCTTGTATGTGTGCAGGACAAAACGATTCTTGGAGGAGCCCAGTACCAGAGCATCTTGTGTGTGTGCAGGGCAAAACGATTCTTGGAAGAGCCCACTACCAGAGCATCTTGTGTGTGTGCAGGACAAAACAATTCTTGGAGGAGCCCACTACCAGAGCATCTTGTGTGTGTGCAGGACAAAATGATGTTTGGAGGAGCCCAGTATCAGAGCATCTTGTGTCACGGGATGACAGGAAATGTCAGCACTCTATCACGGCCCTATCCATCCTTGAGGGCTGACTGACATAAATATAGCATTCCTGCACACCACATGTGGATGACGTGGTCAACATCCTGACAACAAATGAGTCTAGAAACTAACTACTTGAAAGGCCAACTTGGTCAGCAAGTGCCTGAAGATGTCAGATGACATAAGTTCAAATATAGCAGTTCTCTTGCTCCTCTTCTTAGTCTACACCAACTAAATCTCTGGTAAAAACTTCTGGATGTTCATTTACTTCTGGATTTTGGTCTTCCCCTAGGACTTGAGTTGTAGGCACACCTTTTACAGATCTGTCGGTTTTGTATGCAGACTGTTAGTTTCTTATGTCTTTGGCAGATGTCTTGTAACTTCAAAGGAAATACCCCTCTCTATTCACATGTAGACACCCCCCACCTATGTTGCCATTGCCTAACATTACTGAACACTTCTCAGGAAACCAAGGTAATGTTACAAGCACACACATTTGTTATACTCACCTTACGGGCATTCATTAAAAGCCTAATGGTTCTTTCCAGTTTTGGATTCCAAGTCTGGAGCCAGTGATCTTTAACTATGTTAGACAGACCTGACAGAACAAACCCACACAATGTCTATATTTGTACATGTTTTCCAGTGATCAGTGTAGTATAACTTTATTATTAAGCTAGGTGTGTAACCTTTACAGAACATTGCAGAACAAGCAGCAATTCTTTTTTAAACTCTGTTCTGTGATTTTAACAGAGAATTTTACATTCTGCATGGCCAGTGCTCATTACCATTGTCAAAACCAGTGCAAAGTGGTCTGCAGACAAAATGCCTGCAGCTAGAATCAAACAAGGTATTTGATGCATGTTAGTCCAAGTCTCAGACATTGAGAGGTGATGACGAGTGCTGAAAAGTTTAACAACAGGGTCATGTTTACCCCCCTTGTGGCTTCTTATTTCACAACAGTCAATGCGGGGTCAGGTAAACTTGCAGCCCACAAAATCAGTAACAGAGAAAGAGAAAGGGCAGCAAGAGAGTGAGAGAGAGAGAGAGAGAGAGAAAATGAGAGAGGGAGAGAGAGAAATTTTACTGAACACACCTTCAAAAAGCACAACTCAGAAAAGACTGTGAGATGACAGAAGAATAAATAAAGAGACGTAAATTTGATGGAAAAGAGAACATTTATGAACCCGTGGTTTCATTTTATTGCTCAGCATGTCTGTCAGTAATTTATGCCCTTCCGCAAGTGTTCAACATCTCAGCCAGCACACCTTCAATGTCCAAGATATGAATCTGTGTTCTCAGTATGTCAGTAATTTGTCAGTCAACAACGAGACTGTCCGCCAAGCATATTTGTGATTAAATAACTGTTCAGAATGAGTATTACCTTTCTCATACTCAGTACGGTACTGCCTCTTGGGGCCAGATTGGGTCTCTTCTTGCTTCCTGTATTTGACTGTTTGTTCTCCAAACACATTTGTCTGTCTGGCCTGGAAATCCTGGTGCAAAAAATGTTGAATTTCAGGTAATATAATTATATGTCACTAGTATCTAGCCACTAGCAAGTATCTAGTCACTACATAGTGGTGGATCCACAGCCAAGTATCTAGTCACTACATAGTGGTGGATCCACAGGCGAGTATCTAGTCACTACACAGTAGTGGATCCACAGACAAGTATCTAGTCACTACACAGTGGTGGATCCACAGCCAAGTATCTAGTCACTACATAGTGGTGGATCCACAGGCGAGTATCTAGTCACTACATAGTGGTGGATCCACAGACAAGTATCTAGTCACTACACAGTAGTGGATCCACAGACAAGTATCTAGTCACTACACAGTGGTGAATCCACAGCCAAGTATCTAGTCACTACATAGTGGTGGATCCACAGCCAAGTATCTAGTCACTACATAGTGGTGGATCCACAGGCGAGTATCTAGTCACTACACAGTAGTGGATCCACAGACAAGTATCTAGTCACTACACAGTAGTGGATCCACAGGCGAGTATCTAGTCATTACACAGTAGTGGATCCACAGCCAAGTATCTAGTCACTACACAGTAGTGGATCCACAGCTAAATATCTAGTCACTACACAGTGGTGAATCTGCAGGCAAGTATCTAGTCACTACACAGTAGTGGATCCACAGCCAAGTATCTAGTCACTACAGAGTAGTGGATCCACAGGCGAGTATCTAGTCATTACACAGTAGTGGATCCACAGCCAAGTATCTAGTCACTACACAGTAGTGGATCCGCAGCTAAATATCTAGTCACTACACAGTGGTGGATCCACAGACAAGTATCTAGTCACTACACAGTAGTGGATCCGCAGCTAAATATCTAGTCACTACACAGTAGTGGATCCACAGGCGAGTATCTAGTCATTACACAGTGGTGGATCCACAGACAAGTATCTAGTCACTACACAGTAGTGGATCCGCAGCTAAATATCTAGTCACTACACAGTGGTGAATCTGCAGGCAAGTATCTAGTCACTACATAGTGGTGGATCCACAGCCAAGTATCTAGTCACTACACAGTAGTGGATCCACAGGCAAATATCTAGTCACTACACAGTGGTGGATCCACAGACAAGTATCTAGTCACTACACAGTGGTGGATCCACAGACAAGTATCTAGTCACTACACAGTAGTGGATCCACAGGCAAATATCTAGTCACTACACAGTGGTGGATCCACAGACAAGTATCTAGTCACTACACAGTAGTGGATCCACAGACAAGTATCTAGTCACTACACAGTAGTGGATCCACAGCCAAGTATCTAGTCACTACACAGTAGTGACTCCCAATGTTTTTTCTAACACATGTATAACAGATGGATAGATCTGACAAGATGACATGAAGCTAAAATCAGCATCTGTGATACAGCAGGAAACCAGCTGGCTCTCTGTCTCACCAGGATGTTAACTGATGATATATTGTCTCACCAGGATGTTAACTGATGATACATTGTCTCACCAGGATGTTAACTGATGATACATTGTCTCACCAGGATGTTAACTGATGATACAACCTTACAGGATGTTAACTGATGATACCCACCTTACCAGGATGTTAACTGATGATACCCACCTTACCAGGATGTTAACTGATGATACACACCTTACCAGGATGTTAACTGATGATACACACCTTACCAGGATGTTAACTGATGATACATACCTTGATAGCTTGGACCAGTGTGTCTATTTCTTCCTCTATTTGCTTCCTGGTATGGTTTACTCTTCCTACACACAGACTGTCATACTCCTCCTTAGACAGACCTGATGGAACAGATGTACAACATTTGTACATGTTTCAAATTAGTATGCTCAATGATTAATGCAGCAGTTTCTAATAATAAATCAAGAGCTGTGAAGAGTTTACAGCATAGTGAGTTCTGAAGTGCAGAAAGCAGTAGATTTGTAGTGACAATGTAGAGAGGTTGATGGAAAGACAGGAAGGCAGAATCAAGATGTACAGACACCCGCATGAATGATATGCAAAACAACTGCACCAGTGAGGCTTTGAACTCCTGGGGGTTTTGGTTAAGGGGGGGGGGGGGGGGGGGAAATAACCATTTGGGAAATACAGTGACTTTTAGAACACATCAGGTAGCACCTGGGGGATCATCACTGTGCAGAGTTACACACACAATGTCCTGGGTAACACCTGGGGGATCATCACTGTGCAGCGGTACACACACAATGTCCTGGGTAACACCTGGGGGATCATCACTGTGCAGAGTTACACACACAATATCCTGGGTAACACCTGGGGGATCATCACTGTGCAGCGGTACACACACAATGTCCTGGGTAACACCTGGGGGATCATCACTGTGCAGCGGTACACACACAATGTCCTGGGTAACACCTGGGGGATCATCACTGTGCAGAGTTACACACACAATGTCCTAGGTAACACCTGGGGGATCATCACTGTGCAGCGGTACACACACAATGTCCTGGGTAACACCTGGGGGATCATCACTGTGCAGCAGTACACACACAATATCCTGGGTAACACCTGAGGATCATCACTGTGCAGTGGTACACACACAATGTCCTGGAATACCATGTTAAACCAGTTTTTCCAAACTCATGGACAAGATTCTACTCTAATGTATGACAATGCAGCCCCTCTTCAAGTAAGGGTAACCACCACAGCTCTCTCGCTGAACCACCACCACAGCTCTCTCGCTGAACCACCACCACAGCTCTCTCGCTGAACCACCACCACAGCTCTCTCACTGAACCACCACCACAGCTCTCTCACTGAACCACCACCACAGCTCTCTCACTGAACCACCACCACAGCTCTCTCACTGAACCACCACCACAGCTCTCTCACTGAACCACCACCACAGCTCTCTCACTGAACCACCACCACAGCTCTCTCACTGAACCACCACCACAGCTCTCTCACTGAACCACCACCACAGCTCTCTCACTGAACCACCACCACAGCTCTCTCACTGAACCACCACCACAGCTCTCTCACTGAACCACCACCACAGCTCTCTCACTGAACCACCACCACAGCTCTCTCACTGAACCACCACCACAGCTCTCTCACTGAACCACCACCACAGCTCTCTCACTGAAACCACCACCACAGCTCTCTCACTGAACCACCACCACAGCTCTCTCACTGAACCACCACCACAGCTCTCTCACTGAACCACCACCACAGCTCTCTCACTGAACCACCACCACAGCTCTCTCACTGAACCACCACCACAGCTCTCTCGCTGAACCACCACCACAGCTCTCTCGCTGAACCACCACCACAGCTCTCTCGCTGAACCACCACCACAGCTCTCTCACTGAACCACCACCACAGCTCTCTCACTGAACCACCACCACAGCTCTCTCGCTGAACCACATTAATGGTCTTCATTCATGGCCAGCAATTTCTCCTGATCTTAACCCTATTCAGCGTTTATGGGACATGCTTGACCACCATGTCTGAAACCAACCAAATCTATTTCAAAATCATTTGAAGTGTGAAAATTAACTTATACATACTTGGGAGAATCTTTCTGTTGGGAGTCACTTGCAGGAGAATGTTAATACAGTGAAGTCAACTGAAGCAAGTTTATATAAATACGTATGAATGAAGAAATGAAAGTAGACAGAATCCTGCTCAACAACGTGAAGCTTGAGTTAAGCAGAAGTCTTGAGGACAGAAAACTGTTGCACCAAAAAAAGGAATGGGCAGTGTTTTCACAGGAAAGGAACCGTCTTGCTGAAAACTGGAAAACACATTTTGTGAGATTTGATTGTGAGTCTGGGGAAGAGTGGACAGATGTTTGTTGGTACGGACATTTGTTACTGAAGTCAGGAGGAGTGAGTGGACTTGTTTCCACTTTGTGAACACCAATTAAGGAGGCTGACACTGACAAGACTGAGTAGGCAGGCCATGGCAGTGACCATAACATGGCTGGAGATACAGACCTTTTCTATGCTTTCTCAGTGACCCATTGAGTATGCTCAGGAAGATAGAGATGGGCTTGGTCTGGACAGATTGGTTGGAGTCTGTCAAGCAGTTGGGGCTGACACATATCAGTTTCATATTTGTGTGAGGGCACACAGGCATGCAAGGAAATGAGAAAACTGATCCGCTTGCAGGTAAAGCTACTGTTAGGGGTCGACAAGCCACGGAGCAAGCAGATAATCTGAATGCTCTATGAGAAGTAAGACGTTTATGAGAACCAAGTGATGATTGTTAATCTGCAACCATGATCAGACTTCAAGAACAACCTGTTAAAAGATGCTAAAAGGGGTGTGGCCAGATAAAAGCACTATGCAGTAAACCAAAGAAGAACAAGAAACCAACACAGAACTGGTGTCAGCTGGTACTCACTGTGGGTTTGGTGTGCAATAAGGATAATCAGTCGCCTAACTAACTAACACTGACAAGAGCATCAAAGCTGTACAAGCATTTGCACATGGGATGTAAATACGTCTAACACTATTAAGGTTTGTTCACCCTGACCTCCGCATTTATGCAGGATGCTAGCCGTGACCCTGGGAAGGAGCTCATAACTGTTACTGTGATCTGCTGTTACAGTGTACTGTAATGTGAATTCCCGGGGACATCCCAGAGAGTTCCCGATTGGGAGGACAAGGTCAGAGAACCAGTGAAACAAGAGGAAAGCGAGATAAGCAGGTCTTGAGTATCCCGTGGTGAGTGAATAGGGATACGAGGGAAGCGTGAGACTTGAATGGAAGGTGTGAACCCAGAGAGTGTAGAAAGTCAGTTGAAGTTTGGATATGGATGTGTGCGGTCGAATGCAAGAGAACAGCTCTTGAACAAATACACGTGGTCAGACGGTCTGCCTTCTTCTCAGCTGTTCTTTCCCATTCGACTGCACACATTCAGGACCAAACTTCAGCTAGAGACCAACACTACCACAAGTTGCAGTGTGAAACTTCACCGATCCACCCACCCACCTTGAGGCCTGACTGTGGCGGCGTGATTAATGTCAGAGGACAGTACTCATCATAAAGTAGTGCGACTTTTCGTTTCAACTACTGTCTCACTTAGGTTTACAATTGACATTTCTTAAAATGGATTTCAAACTAAAACATGAATAAGTGCAGTTTGTCAAAAAATAAAATAAATGTAATTGCAACCGAACACAAACTGTATTAGTTACTAAAAATGTTAAGTGTTAACTTTCTAATGAAAGAGAGAGTGTTTGTAAATAGGTCTATGTATGAATGTATATGCAGTGGTACCATAAGTGCAGTTTGTCCTTTCACAGTGACATCTGGAGTAAGACAGGGGTGTGTCTTATCACCACTGCTGTTTATCACCTACATCGACAGTATATGCAAGAATGCCAAGCCCATGAATGAAGATCTTAGGAGGATCAACGAATTACTCTTTGCAGATGACCAGGCCTTGATAGCAGATACAGCCATGAAATTGCAACAACATCTAACATCCATGAATGAAGAATGTAAAACAAATAATATGAGAATCAACACTGAAAAGACAGAAGTAATGTCAATAGGAAAAAATAAGACAGATCTAAACATAGCAATAGAATACAAAGGCATTAAACAGGCATCTGAGTTTAAATATCTGGGAACTACATTTACCGAAGATGGGAAATTGGATAAATAAACATTAGATGCAGTAAAGCAAACCAAGTATTGGGACAGCTAGCCCCTCTCTTACAGCATGAGACAATCCCAATCAGCACAAAGAGACATCTTATTCAAAGCATATTTATTCCAACTCTGTGCTACCAGTGCCAGACATGGTCACTCACAACAAACCATAAAAGAAAATTAGTAACCATGGAAATGAGATGTCTGAGAAGGGCTGTAGGAGTGACCATAAGAGATAAGATCAGGAATGAGATCATAAGAGAACAAGTCGGCACAGAACCAATTCTGGATTACATACAAAGACAGCAAGTGAAATGGTTTGCCCACTTAGAGAGAATGCCTTGTGACACCATACCATACAAAACATACATGAAAAGAGAAGAAGGACGTAGAGCACGGGGTAGACCAAGAACAAGATGGAAGGACAACATCAGAGAAACTCTACAACAGCACGATGTGCCTATGGTCGAGGCAGCCAGAAGAGCTAGAAACAGAACCTTAAATCTCCCTCGACACCCACAGCGGTAAAAGAGGAAGTGAAGAAGAAGAAGAAGAAGAAAAGTAAGAATTTCCATTTCTTCTATAACTTTTATTTCTTTGAGATGACATGATAGATAAACCTTTGGCCACATCCAGGTCCCTCTAAAAATCTGTTTTTTTTTTTAGAACTGCAGCTATGGTGGACTTGGACAAGTTAAAGCACAAATCAGTTTGCCTGATTCCTTTCTTAGAATTGTCTAAAATCTCTTTCTTAATTTCTTGTGTCTTATTTCTTGGTTTTCTTTAACCTGATGTTGAAAATTATATGCAATATCTAAAAAATAATATGAATTATTTGTCTGCAAGTATATAAACTAACTAAACTGCTGGATAAGGCAAACACTGAAAAAGATTCACACAAAAAGCAAATGTATTGGTGCGGCATGCATCACACACCACTCGTTGTGTCGTATTCAACATAAGTAAAAAATAAACATGCACATCAGAAGTGCATCACAGGTTTGTAGAGGTCAAAATGGAAAATGAAAAAAGTTTGTATCTCTAAAACTTTTAAAGTAGAGTGGTTCGTAAGTCAAGGCATTACTGTGCGTGTTTGTGTGTGAGCGTGTGTGTGTCAACCAGAGTGAGAGAAAAAATAGAAGAGAGTAAGAGCAAAAGAAAAGACAGAAAGAGAGACAATGAACAAACAAACTTTATTTTGAAAGGGTCACAAATTGGGCACGCAGGCCCGTCTTACATTCGGCCCTTCCAACTTATAATAACATATATATTTCACAATGAACATTTATGAGATCCCAGCTTCTGTAAACTGGTCAGCTAAGTAAAGTTTGTTCATTCGTTCAGTCTGTCTTTAAGCAGACCATATGTCAGCCATTGGATTGATCAGGTCTAGCAACACAACTTGTATGTTTTCAGTGCATGTTTAGCTTCACAGTTTGCACTTTAGACTCCAGTGTGCTGCATTAATGTGGCCAGAATCTCTCCCATAAGTACCTGGCTCATCAGCCTGCACATTTCCATCCATGAGGTTGCCAGCTAGTATCCAAAATATAAATCTACTCAAAATGTCTCAGTAATTTATCAGCTACTACTCCTTTGTTAGTTAGGTTTCAAGTACATGCACCAGTGTCTTGTGTTCAGAACAAGTGTTACCTCTCTCAAACTCATTACGTCGCAGTTTCTTGGGCTCCACACGCTTGATCAGTATAAACATTTGTTTGTCTAACAAACATGCTTTGGCATGCAGTTGCTGGAGGAAAAAAAATGAATTTTGGATAATAATACATTTTGCAAATAATAAACTAAGCTGTTTATGGCACTTCCACTTGTTGTGAAGGGTCTTCAATTGCAATAATTTTCAATTTTTTTTTAAAGTACAAAGTACAGTTCCAATCACTTTTATGCAAACATTAGCATATGAACACACATTTTGTGGGGAACAAAATTCAGTTTTGTCAGTTTAGCAAATGTTGAAGTCACACAGTTGTGTTAGGTGAGATGTGATAGCAAATGTTGAAGTCACACAGTTGTGTTAGGTGAGATGTGATAGCAAATGTTGAAGTCACACAGTTGTGTTAGGTGAGATGTGATAGCAAATGTTGAAGTCACACAGTTGTGTTAGGTGAGATGTGATAGCAAATGTTGAAGTCACACAGTTGTATTAGGTGAGATGTGATTGTAGGTTCCTCTTAGTGTTACTGCTTTAAATGCCGGCCAAACAAAACAAATGCTCACCGGTCAACTGTACACTTGACATAAATGCCAACTGTTGTGTGAACATACTGCCACCAACACATGTTTGACTGGCAAAATAGTGATTCAATGAGACAATCCACAACAATAATGTGTGAAACAGACGGGCTGGTTCTGCATCACTTGGTGGTCAACTGATGCATGACTCCCCATGCGAGTTCTGCGACCTCATTTTAGTGGGACAATAATATCACTCAAAGCTCCCTTTCACATATGTGTAAAATATGCCTAATTAGGGTTTTGTTGAAATCAGATGTGTTGGCACCAAAAGGTGCAAAACTGCAGCCTAGCTTTAAACCACAACACAATATGCCAAATGCCCTTTTGAGGGCAAGCACTGAAGAAAAAGATGCTAGATGTGACTGAAGCATTTTGGGAGAGACGACACTACTTCGGGCTTCAGAACATCTCTTTCTACAGCTTAATTTTTTTCTAAGTGTTTTAAGTTATAAAGAAAATATGCCCCTTGGCTATAACCTAATTTGCTGTAACCAAAATCTAGGACAACCAGAACAAAGCACTTAATTTCTACTAGACTAACACCCATTCCAGGGGTCAGGTGTTAATACTACAGATAATACTGTCCATGTAAACTTTATGGCCCCAGTGAAGTGGAAAGCTAAGACATAGCGGCTGGAGGTTCTGCTTGTAGAACTGAGGTGTCAGATAATTATCTCCTAGCCAGACCTTTAGGAGCAGATAATTCAGGCTAATTGTGATCATCTCCCCCTGAGATTACCCCACTTGAGTGCAGGTCAGATGGTTAGTATTGAAACTGGTCTGCTGGAGGATTAGTAGACAGAACCTGGCAGGTTGAAGATGGTTACAAAGGTGTTGATTCGTTTATGGTCATTGGCCAGCCTGATGGATCATGAGAATGTAACCATGGGAATGCAAACAAGTGTTGTGCTATTCTGACTGACAGTGAGTGGACTTACCCACTTACCCTTGAATGAGAGAGGTTCAGTAAGAGATACCCCCGTGTGGGTTCCAGGGCCCCATTGTGGGAAAAACAAGAATAGACCCACTGCCTCCCCAAAAGCAAGTTGTAAGAGTCGACTAATTGGGGAGCTTCCTTTGAAGTCAGAGTGCATCTGCCGGAGAGGCAAGGAACCAACAGTCTGTATTCAAGAGAATGAGATCTGTAAAACTGATGCACACGCAATATTCAGGTTCTGGAGCAGGACTGCAGTTCAGTAGTGGACGAGCAACCAGAACCTTCGGCCAGAGTTTACAGTTGGTGAACGTGAAGAAGTAGGAGATAAGGGAAGGAGCTAACTTTGCTAGAGAAAGTCTAATACAGTGAGGAGTCTAAATTTCACTTCAGACAGCTGCCAGCAGGCCGACTGAGAGCTGCACTAGAAAGTTTTGCTAGCTACGTGAGTCTTTTTGGCAAATTGCTGGAATTTTCTCAGGTATGACTGAATATTAGTCTCACTTTTTTATTCATCTTTCAGGAGTATAGCTAGGCCATTCTATCTTCCCTGAATTATCTAAATACACATTCGGCTTGAAATAGTTCTTTCAGAGGATTCAGCTATCTCTGTTAGGGAACTGGTAAACTATTCCCACTACTTGAATGTTTTATTACATGTTTTTCAGTTTTCATGTACATAAAATAAGACTTCAATAATGATATTTATTATAATGAAATGTAATGAAATTGTAATGTTTCAAACATCCACAAAACCATGAGCATTGTTTGTGGGGAAATGATACCCACATAAGCAGCCATGCGGTGAGGGTTTTGCTAGTGCACCATGTACTCAGTGAAATGTGTTTACCTACTCAGATATTGACCATCCAGGGAAAAAACATGAGAGTATATGTTTTAGCATGTGACCTTGTACCACATGTCCATGTCCAAACATATCAGCCAGTTTTGAAGTCTGAGACTTATAGGATCTCAACTATCATGACAGAACATGAGATGGAAGTCAGGATATGTAGGACAACAGACATAGGATCTCAACTATCATGACAGAACATGAGAGGGAAGTCAGGATATGTAGGACAACAGACTTATAGGATCTCAACTATCATGACAGAACATGAGAGGGAAGTCAGGATATGTAGGACAACAGACATAGGATCTCAACTATCATGACCGAACATGAGGGAAGTCAGGTATAGTATCTCAACTATCATGACAGAACATGAGAGGGAAGTAAGGATATGTAGGACAACAGACTTACAGGATCTCAACTATCATGACAGAACATGAGAGGGAAGTCAGGATATGTAGGACATAATGGCATCCGTCAGTCCCGGGGGACTATGGAGATGTGCCGCTGGCTTTGGGAACAGCATCTGCTGTGACTGTAAAGTCCGATGCGGGAATGGCAGTCTTTGCCACACAGGATACACACAAAAGCAGATACTCCTTCGTTGTGAGGCAGTTTTACTTTCCGGTGTCTCCTCTCCACAGCTCGTTGTGTTCGGTTTCTTTCAAAATGTGACAGTCCATCTTTCACTTTCTGTCTCCATAGTAGTCAATCTGCAGCTGATTTTTCCCATGTCTCTGTGCCTATGTTGGTGTCTATTAGGTCACGTTTGCATACATCTTTATAGCGCAGCTTTGGCCTTCCTGTAGGTCTATTCCCAGTTACCAATTCACCATATAGGAGATCTTTTGGAATACGACCATCCTCCATGCGGGAGACATGTCCCAGCCAGCGCAGACGTCTTTGCTTCAGTATACAATACATTTATGGTATTTTTGCTCTGGTGAGCACACATTCGTTGGAGACAAGGTCTCGCCATAATATACCAAGGATGCGTCTCAGACAGCGCATATGGAAGGTATTCAGTCTTTTTTCCTGTGGAGCATAGAGAGTCCATGATTCGCAGCCGTACAGTAATGTGCTCAGGACACAAGACTCATAAACCTTCATTTTCATTTTTCATTATGTAAGACAACAGACATAGGATCTAAACTATCATGACAGAACATGAGAGGGAAGTCAGGATATGTAGGACAACAGATTTATAGAATCTCAACTATCATGACAGAACATGAGAGAGAAGTAAGGATATATAGGACAACAGACTTATAGGATCTCAACTATCATGACAGAACATGAGAGGGAAGTCAGGATATGTAGGACAACAGACTCATAGGATCTCAACTATTATGACAGAACATGAGAGGGAAGTCAGGATATGTAGGACAACAGATTTATAGAATCTCAACTATCATGACAGAACATGAGAGAGAAGTCAGGATATGTAGGACAAGAGACTTATAGGATCTCAACTATTATGACAGAACATGAGAGGGAAGTCAGGATATGTAGGACAACAGACTTACAGAATCTCAACTATCATGACAGAACATGAGAGGGAAGTCAGGATATGTAGGACAACAGACTTATAGGATCTCAACTATCATGACAGAACATGAGAGGGAAGTCAGGATATGTAGGACAACAGACTTACAGGATCTCAACTATCATGACAGAACATGAGAGGGAAGTCAGGATATGTAGGACAACAGACTTACAGGATCTCAACTATCATGACAGAACATGAGAGGGAAGTCAGGATATGTAGGGCAACAGACTTATAGGATCTCAACTATCATGACAGAACATGAGAGGGAAGTCAGGATACGTAGGACAACAGACTTACAGGATCTCAACTATCATGACAGAACATGAGAGGGAAGTCAGGATATGTAGGGCAACAGACTTACAGGATCTCAACTATCATGACAGAACATGAGAGGGAAGTCAGGATATGTAGGACAACAGACTTATAGGATCTCAACTATCATGACAGAACATGAGAGGGAAGTCAGGATATGTAGGACAACAGACTTACAGGATCTCAACTATCATGACAGAACATGAGAGGGAAGTCAGGATATGTAGGACAACAGACTTACAGGATCTCAACTATCATGACAGAACATGAGAGGGAAGTCAGGATATGTAGGACAACAGACTTACAGGATCTCAACTATCATGACAGAACATGAGAGGGAAGTCAGGATATGTAGGACAACAGACTTACAGGATCTCAACTATCATGACAGAACATGAGAGGGAAGTCAGGATATGTAGGACAACAGACATAGGATCTCAACTATCATGACAGAACATGAGAGGGAAGTCAGGATATGTAGGACAACAGACTTACAGGATCTCAACTATCATGACAGAACATGAGAGGGAAGTCAGGATATGTAGGACAACAGACTTACAGGATCTCAACTATCATGACAGAACATGAGAGGGAAGTCAGGATATGTAGGACAACAGACTTACAGGATCTCAACTATCATGACAGAACATGAGAGGGAAGTCAGGATATGTAGGACAACAGACATAGGATCTCAACTATCATGACAGAACATGAGAGGGAAGTCAGGATATGTAGGACAACAGACTTATAGGATCTCAACTATCATGACAGAACATGAGAGGGAAGTCAGGATATGTAGGACAACAGACTTACAGGATCTCAACTATCATGACAGAACATGAGAGGGAAGTCAGGATATGTAGGACAACAGACTTATAGGATCTCAACTATCATGACAGAACATGAGAGGGAAGTCAGGATATGTAGGACAACAGACTTACAGGATCTCAACTATCATGACAGAACATGAGAGGGAAGTCAGGATATGTAGGGCAACAGACACAGGATCTCAACTATCATGACAGAACATGAGAGGGAAGTCAGGATATGTAGGACAACAGACTTACAGGATCTCAACTATCATGACAGAACATGAGAGGGAAGTCAGGATATGTAGGGCAACAGACACAGGATCTCAACTATCATGACAGAACATGAGAGGGAAGTCAGGATATGTAGGACAACAGACACAGGATCTCAACTATCATGACAGAACATGAGAGGGAAGTCAGGATATGTAGGGCAACAGACACAGGATCTCAACTATCATGACAGAACATGAGAGGGAAGTCAGGATATGTAGGGCAACAGACACAGGATCTCAACTATCATGACAGAACATGAGAGGGAAGTCAGGATATGTAGGACAACAGACTTACAGGATCTCAACTATCATGACAGAACATGAGAGGGAAGTCAGGATATGTAGGACAACAGACTTACAGGATCTCAACTATCATGACAGAACATGAGGGAAGTCAGGATATGTAGGACAACAGACTTACAGGATCTCAACTATCATGACAGAACATGAGAGGGAAGTCAGGATATGTAGGACAACAGACACAGGATCTCAACTATCATGACAGAACATGAGAGGGAAGGCAGAAAGTGTAGGACACCAGTGTGAGACATCAGACATTCAGACTAGACTGCAGAGTGTGAATATGAGGGGAGAATTTGATCTTCTGCTTATTCTGTCAACTAACTAAATGAGGTGAATCCAGAACTGACATCAAAGCCTATCAGACATTCAGATCTTCTGCTAATTCTGTCAACTAACTAAATGAGGTGAATCCAGAACTGACATCAAAGCCTATCAGACATTCAGATCTTCTGCTAATTCTGTCAACTAACTAAGTGAGGTGAATCCAGAACTGACATCAAAGCCTATCAGATCTTCTGCTAATTCTGTCAACTAACTAAATGAGGTGAGTCCAGACCTGACATCAAAGCCTATCAGACATTCAAATCTTCTGCTAATTCTGTCAACTAACTAAATGAGGTGAGTCCAGACCTGACATCAAAGCCTATCAGACATTCAGATCTTCTGCTAATTCTGTCAACTAACTAAATGAGGTGAATCCAGAACTGACATCAAAGCATTATGGACATGACCACATTAAGCTTGGCATGCATCGACTCACTGCCTAATGGTGCAAAACCAGCCAATATGTCTGCATGTTAATTTCCCAACAGACCTGCATACCTGAGAAAATATCCCCCCCAAAAAACTAACTAACCACTGTGTATGGAGCATGCCTGTCTTTACCGTTTCCAGCAAGCTTTGTAAATTTGTTACAATCATGACGTGTGTGTGTGTGTGTGTGTGTGTGTGTGTGTGTGTGTATGTGTGCTCGCGCAGTTGGCTCTCAAGCCAGTGGAAAGCTGCTGTGACTGCCTCCACCTCCAATCTCAAACTAGATTATGTAGTGCTTGCTGATCTCTGCACTCCCTGTCCAGTGTAATAAGAACCCTAGGAAAGTCTGATTTTTTGGCTCTAACACTCTGACCCACTCTGCTCTTTGTCTTTTCAAGCATACACACATCTCTAATAGTCTCTTCTGCTTGTGCAGAAGCCTGTGGCCCATAGCTGTATCCAGGGCTCTGTTGCATGCTGATTTGTGTGGATTCATACTTAGTGCGTGGATAGCAGCTATCGCACAAAAAAGTATGGAGTTCTTAGTGAAAGGGAATCAAGCACAACAGTAAGTACATGGAGGCTCACAAGAGACAGGCATGTGTATATAGTGGGGTTGAGTTTAGCTGAGAAGACAGAGGTCTGCTAGAACGTGTCGAGAGAACAGCTGAGTTAAGAATGTTCAAGCTGGAAGCACTCATGAGAGACTGGTCTAGAGGACAGTCGAGAGTGCAGTCGAGGGAAGAGAAGTCCAGCTGGCAGAGTTAGGCCTAGAGAGCCGGACTACTTCAAGAACAAGCTGTCTTGGGTGATGACGCATGTGAGGCGGTAGGATCACTAGTGAAACAAGACAGCAGAGATGTCGGTGACAGCTGTGTGCTGAAGAGGACTCAGGCTTGGAGTTCTGCCCGTCATCGGGGTTCCTTCAACGAGGCTGATATCGAGAATCGGAAGTTTTTCAGTCAGCCGAAGTGACAGTGTCAGCTACATACAGAGCAATGGAGGTCAAGCTCAAGGAAGATGTAACCTGTTCATCCGTACAGCGAGCCCTGAAGTGAGGGGAGCTGGAGACCTCGGCACTAGCGGTCAGCTCAGCGTGCAGTGGCAGCTAGTGTAGGCTGTCTGACAGAACTTGAGCGAGGGACATTCATTTTATAGTTAGCCAGCGACGTGTATGGTTACTTAACTGCATTATAATATTTACGGGTTTGTCTATACCCGCTAGAAATTGTGACAATAAATGTGCATATATGGCGGCAACATGTCGATGAGTTTTCGTCACAGTTCTGTGCACAAATTGGGTACAACAGTTGGAGTGTGACGGCTTCATGTCGTTAAGTTTTCCTCACAGTTCTGTGCACAAATTGGGTACAACAGTTGGAGTGTGACGGCAACATGTCGTTAAGTTTTCCCTCACAGTTCTGTGCACTAATTGGGTACAACAGTTGGAGTGTGACGGCAACATGTCGTTGAGTTTTCCTCACAGTTCTGTGCACAAATTGGGTACAACAGTTGGAGTGTGACGGCAACATGTCGTTGAGTTTTCCTCACAGTTCTGTGCACTAATTGGGTACAACAGTTGGAGTGTGACAGCAACATGTCGTTGAGTTTTCCTCACAGTTCTGTGCACTAATTGGGTACAACAGTTGGAGTGTGACGGCAACATGTCGTTGAGTTTTCCTCACAGTTCTGTGCACTAATTGGGTACAACAGTTGGAGTGTGACGGCAACATGTCATTGAGTTTTCCTCACAGTTCTGTGCACTAATTGGGTACAACAGTTGGAGTGTGACGGCAACATGTCGTTAAGTTTTCCCTCACAGTTCTGTGCACTAATTGGGTACAACAGTTGGAGTGTGACGGCAACATGTCGTTGAGTTTTCCTCACAGTTCTGTGCACAAATTGGGTACAACAGTTGGAGTGTGAATCATATCCAGGACACTGGGTTGTGTGCTGTCTGCCCCTTAAGCACACAACAGGCTTTATGACGGAGGTGTTTTTATCTGCAGCCTCTGAGGTAGGACCTCACACTCTGAGCCTTACTAGCTATCCCTATTCTACTTTCCAATTTTCTAAAACTGTTTGTATTTGAGTTACATGCATCTAGACTGAATCAGAAAAAAGATGTTATAATGGCAGACTTAAATCCCAAATATTTAATATCCATTTCTTAGGAGAATATAAAAAGCAGAATTGTTGTTAACATTAAGGTTCAGCCTCAGGTTGTAACAACATTTTTGATGATCAAAACCAATCTGATTATAATGTCAAATAACAAATATGTGACTTGCACATGAAATAACTGATGATACATATAACACTGATAAAGTTTGCAGGTGAACAGATTAGACCTAATACATAACTCAAAACTAAACACAAGCTACAAAAGTGACAACCTGCTCTCCAAAAATCTCACAAGGATGTAAACTACTAACACATACCTGTAAAGCGTTGATGAAATTGTCATATTTTTCTTCCATGTGTTTCCTGTGGCGTTTTATGTGCTCTATGTGCCTGTCTAGCCTGGAGAGAATTGCTGGAACAGATCCACACAAGTTATTTACATCTATTAGAATTCCTTGACAGCCATAATGAGCACCCCAGGTGTTTTGAAAGAGGTGAAGGCTCGAAGACAACTTTTTAGAAACTTTGGAAAAAGTCAGCCAATCAGGGGCGGTGTGTGATCAGGTTATAAGAAGAAAGAAACTGGAGCATGTGACCACTGGAAAAATGGGGCCAAGTGGTCTCAAGACATGGCATCCACCTCGAGTGCTGGAGGTCCCGGGGTCAGGCCCCGGTACAGGCTGGAATTTCTTTACGTAAACTTATAGTATTTTTCCTCTGGTCTCTGGGTTCTAAGACCGGATGTCCCTGTGTATTGTTGTACATTTAAAAAAATCCCTTGGCAGTTAGAAATCAAAAAGAGTAGCATAACAGCACTTTGCAGTTAAAAATCGACCACAAAGTAGTTCACTGCGCTGAAATTTGTGTGACTCAGGCTCGAATGAGAAGTTAAAAGGGAGAACTTATGGGTTACTACCCTTGTGCCATGAGGATGATCACGGTTGTTCAAACCAAACCGCTGGAAGGATATGTGGAAAAGGAGACGCAGGAATACAGCACGAGACGATTCTTGACAGCCTTTTGTAATGGCATGGAGGGGTGTCAACACACAAACTGATACACTCAGTTGGAGACTGCAGAGGCAGGATCGTCCACACCAGTCGACAGGGCACTTGATGATGATGCTACAATTATAACTGCAATATGTCTCTAATAATTTATCACGAATTTTGAATTTACAACACAGTGACTACTGATGTGCAGAAATAAAAAGATCTGGGATAATACTTTACAAAAAAGTACTGAGAGATGGTTCTAGAGAAGAATGCAGTAACCAGTCTGACCAGAGGATAAAAGTAATGAGAGCTTCTAGAAAGTTGTCAACAATAGAAGAAAAGTGACTGCTTGAATCAGAAGCAGACAATAAACTTTCTTAGGGCAAATAGTGATAACTGGATCAACTAGGAAAAGTTTCAACAAGAGAGACAAGGCATGAATAGACAGAAGATACTTGGTTTCTAGGCAATGTGGGAAAGCAACATCTGTATCAGAAATGAATGCCAACATGTCAGACAGGAGGCTGTCAATAGAAGAAAAGCCGACTATTTGAATTATTCCTTTATAAATATTACATTATAAACAAAGTTCTTCAAAACCAGAAGTGGGAAAACTGTGGCCCCGAACCAAAACTGGACTGCTGGGCAAATTTTCCTGGCCACGAGGCTAATGTAAAATTGATATAGAATCTGGCCCTTGAGATCATAAAAACAGCAGAATATAAAAACATATATTTGCAGGATATTCAAACACGCTCATTAAATCTCTAAGTTATCTATTGATAATTTACTGATCATTCCTGTCTGTCTGTCTGTCTCTTACTCACTTGTTAATCATTTACAGTCTATCATTTCCTGCTTCATTGCCCTCCCCCTTTAAAAAAAATATGATTTCTGAAAATATCCAACATAAACTGACATGTAGGAATATAAAGAAAGGCTTCAGTGTGTGTGTGTGTGTGTGTGTGTCAGGTTAGAGGTAATGCAAGAGATGTCAATCTTAGATTATCCTACAAAAATATTGTATTATGAGGAAATATGATGTTATGTTTATAATAGATTTTTGTGTTACTGGCCTGTGTGACCAGATTGGTATCTTATTACAAATCAACATAACTGAAATAATGTCTTGGTGTACAGGTCTACATGTCAGCCAGTAAGAAAATGTCAACCAGACAGTATCAATGATTCAATGTCAACCAGACAGTATCAATGATTCAATGTCAACCAGACAGTATCAATGATTCAATGTCAACCAGACAGTATCAATGATTCAATGTCAACCAGACAGTATCAATGATTCAATGTCAACCAGACAGTATCAATGATTCAATGTCAACCAGACAGTATCAATGATTCAATGTCAACCAGACAGTATCAATGATTCAATGTCAACCAGACAGTATCAATGATTCAATGTCAACCAGACAGTATCAATGATTCAATGTCAACCAGACAGTATCAATGATTCAATGTCAACCAGACAGTATCAATGATTCAATGTCAACCAGACAGTATCAATGATTCAATGTCAACCAGACAGTATCAATGATTCAATGTCAACCAGACAGTATCAATGATTCAATGTCAACCAGACAGTATCAATGATTCATTGAACATAACATGACTAGAACGCTCAATGAGCACAGAAAGAAACTTGCTGTCCCAGTTTGTATTCAGCTAATCAGCCTGTACCTCACATCAAAATAACTGCCATTGTGTGTGTCCATCATGGTGGTCTGCAAGTTATCAATTTCCAACATTTCATTTTGCACTCTATAATCCGGTGCAAGTGTATATCGACCAACCACTGCTCCCATTAATGTCCAAACTGAACATCTGCACTTTTAATGTATCAGTAATTTGTAACTCAACAGCCAAATTATCAGCCAGACCTTCTAAGTGTCAAGCAAGTCTATCAGTCACAAGTCAGTGTCAAGAAGTGTCTATCAGTAAAATTTCAGTGTTAGGTCATGTCTATCAGTAAAATGTCAGTTTCAGGCTAAGCCTATTAGTAAAGTGTCAGTGTTAGACCACCAGTAAAATGTCAGTGTCAGACCACCAGTAAAGTGTCAGTGTCAGACCACCAGTAACGTGTCAGACCACATCTCACAAGTCAGTGTCAAGAAGTGTCTATCAGTAAAATTTCAGTTTCAGGCTAAGCCTATTAGTAAAATGTCAGTGTCAGACCACCAGTAAAATGTCAGTGTCAGATTACCAGTAAAATGTCAGTGTCAGACCACCAGTAAAGTGTCAAGTGTCAGAATACCAGTAAAATGTCAGTGTCAGACCACCAGTAAAATGTCAGTGTCAGACCACCAGTAAAGTGTCAGACCACCAGTAAAATGTCAGTGTCAGACCACCAGTAAAGTGTCAGTGTCAGACCACCAGTAAAGTGTCAGACCACCAGTAAAGTGTCAGTGTCAGACCACCAGTAAAGTGTCAGACCACCAGTAAAGTGTCAGTGTCAGACCACCAGTAAAGTGTCAGACCACCAGTAAAATGTCAGTGTCAGGCCACCAGTAAAGTGTCAGTGTCAGACCACCAGTAAAGTGTCAGTGTCAGAATACCAGTAAAATGTCAGTGTCAGGCCACCAGTAAAGTGTCAGTGTCAGGCCACCAGTAAAGTGTCAGTGTCAGGCCACTAGTAAAGTGTCAGTGTCAGACCACCAGTAAAGTGTCAGTGTCAGATTACCAGTAAAATATCAGTGTCAGATTACCAGTAAAATGTCAGTGTCAGATCACCAGTAAAATGTCAGTGTCAGACCACCAGTAAAGTGTCAGTGTCAGAATACCAGTAAAATGTCAGTGTCAGACCACCAGTAAAGTGTCAGTGTCAGACCACCAGTAAAGTGTCAGTGTCAGAATACCAGTAAAATGTCAGTGTCAGACCACCAGTAAAGTGTCAGTGTCAGACCACCAGTAAAGTGTCAGTGTCAGACCACCAGTAAAGTGTCAGTGTCAGACCACCAGTAAAGTGTCAGTGTCAGAATACCAGTAAAATGTCAGTGTCAGACCACCAGTAAAATGTCAGTGTCAGACCACCAGTAAAATGTCAGTGTCAGACCACCAGTAAAATGTCAGTGTCAGACCACCAGTAAAGTGTCAGTGTCAGACCACCAGTAAAATGTCAGTGTCAGACCACCAGTAAAATGTCAGTGTCAGACCACCAGTAAAATGTCAGTGTCAGACCACCAGTAAAGTGTCAGTGTCAGACCACCAGTAAAATGTCAGTGTCAGACCACCAGCAAAATTTCAGTGTCAGACCACCAGTGAAGTGTCATATACATCTATCAGAAAAAAATAAGTGTCAGATCATCGGTTAAATGTCAGGATATGTCTATCAGTAAAATATCAACATCAGGCCATCAGTAAAATGTCAGTATTGGGCCATCAGTAAAATTTCAGTACTTAACCATGTCTATATTTTTAAAAAAAGTCAGTACAAGGCCCTGTTTATCAGTAAATGTCAGTATCCGGCCATGTCCTAATTTTTTTTTAAAAAGGCCAGGCTACAAGTAAAATGTCCCTATCAGAATATGTCTATCAGTCAAATTTCAGTTCAGGATATGTCTATCAGTCAAATTTCAGTTCAGGATATGTCTATCAGTCAAATTTCAGTTCAGGATATGTCTATCAGTCAAATTTCAGTTCAGGACATGTCTGTAAAATGTCAGTATCAGGGTATGTCTATCAGTCAAATGTCAGTATCAGGATATGTCTATCAGTCAAATGTCAGTATCAGGATATGTCTATCAGTCAAATGTCAGTATCAGGATATGTCTATCAGTCAAATGTCAGTATCAGGATATGTCTATCAGTCAAATATCAGTATCAGGATATGTCTATCAGTCAAATGTCAGTATCAGGATATGTCTATCAGTCAAATGTCAGTATCAGGATATGTCTGTCAGTCAAACGTCAGTATCAGGATATGTCTGTCAGTCAAATGTCAGTATCAGGATATGTCTGTCAGTCAAATGTATGTATCAGAATATGTCTGTCAGTCAAATGTCAGTATCAGGATATGTCTATAAATAAAATGCCAGTATCAGACTGTGACAATCAGTCAAATGTAAGTGGCAAGCCATGTATGTCAGTCAAATGTCTACTGGTAAAATGTCAATGTTAGGCCGTCAGTAAAATGTCAGGACATGTCTAACAGTAAAAGTTCAGTGCCTTCATGAGTATTACCTCTATGAGACTCAACATCACTCTGCTGTGTAAGGGCTTTTTGCTTCTCTTGTTCTGACAAGCTCATCAGTTCAGTTTGATGATCCTGCAGTTAGGAACAGAAGTTCATTCAATAAAGCTGTTCATGAAAAGCTCGCTCATTTTCAAAGTTAAAAATCACATTCTCGCAACCAAAATGGCAGAATTTGGCCAGCAGTGTCATCATCATCATGCAGCAGGTCCTTTGCAGAACGTCGCTCTCATCACAGTCTGCCTGAAAGAAACTCGGGTCTCTCGCCAGTTCTCCTGCCTCATGCACTTTCACACTCAAGGAGTCACTTATATCCTGTGCCCATCTTTGTGTTGGTCGGCCCCTGCCCCTCCTTCCTGGTACCATGCCTTTTGCTATATTTTTTTGGCTTCCATGATGAGTTTCTTGGGATAGTAAGCCAGTAATGTAATTAAATTAAATATCCACCTGTGGCATCATGAATATTTAGCAATGTAAATTTGATATTGGTTTCCCAGTTGTGGCTGTAACAAAGTCAGCATTATAAAAATGGTCTTTTATTCCCGGATGTGATTATAATGTGAACTGAAAGAGATTTTATTATTTTTACACTGCATAACTGTAGCAGACAACAGGTTCAACTAACTGTAGCAGATGACAGGTTTAAAAAACATAAGTGTAACAGATGACAGGTTTAATAAACATAACTGTAGCAGATAACAGGTTTAATAAACTAACTGTAGCAGATGACAGGTTCAACCAACTGAACTGTAGCAGATGACAGGTTCAACAAACATAATTGTAGCAGATGACAAGTTCAACAAACATAACTGTAACAGATGACAGGTTCAACAAACATAACTGTAACAGATGACAGGTTCAACAAACATTACTGTAACAGATGACAGGTTCAACAAACATAACTGTAACAGATGACAGGTTCAACAAACATAACTAACAGATGACAGGTTCAACAAACATAACTGTAACAGATGACAGGTACAACAAATATAACTGTAACAGATGACAGGTTCAACAAACATAACTGTAACAGATGACAAGTTCAACAAACATAATTGTAGCAGATGACAAGTTCAACAAACATAACTGTAACAGATGACAGGTTCAACAAACATAACTCTAACAGATGACAGGTTCAACAAACATAACTAACAGATGACAGGTTCAACAAACATAACTGTAACAGATGACAAGTTAAACAAACATAACTGTAACAGATGACAGGTTCAACAAACATAACTGTAACAGATGACAGGTTCAACAAACATAACTGTAACAGATGACAGGTTCAACAAACATAACTGTAACAGATGACAGGTACAACAAATATAACTGTAACAGATGACAGGTTCAACAAACATAGCTGTAACAGATGACAAGTTCAACAAACATAACTGTAACAGATGACAGGTTCAACAAACATAACTGTAACAGATGACAAGTTCAACAAACATAACTGTAACAGATGACAGGTTCAACAAACATAACTGTAGAAAATGAAAAGTTCAACAAACATAACTAGCAAACAAAAGGTTCAACAAACAGAACAAAGCCAAACTTAACATGTATCATAAGAGTGGCAACCCGCTCTTCACTTATTTCACCAGGATGTCACTTTCTGACAACAGTTAGCTGAACCAATTCCAGTATTTCTTGGCTGTTGTGGTTTTTCTAGGCACAACTATGTTTAGTAGTTTGCCATTGTTTCTGAATGGTCTGCTCTCAATACTACTGTCAAAACCAATGGAAGGCAGTCTACTGTCAATCAGCCTGCAGCTGGGATCGAAAACTATTGGTACATACCTGAAAAGCTTTGATCAGAGTGTCATATTCGTCTTCTAGATGTTTTCTGGTGAACTTTATTTCAGACGCCATCAACTCATTGTTTTTTTCATGAGACAGACCTGATGAGGCACAATTGATACATTTTACACATCTGTAATGATTAATGCAATACAAAGGGACATGAAAAGTTCTGACAATTTATATGATGCCATACAGATATGCAGAAAGGAATCTTGGACAACTAACAAATTAGTGAAACTGTATATCGCTATCTCTCTCTCTCTCTCTCTCTCTCTCTCTCTCTCTCTCTCTCTCTCTCTCTCTCTCTCTCTCTCTCTCTCTCTCTCTCTAGGTGTGTGCCTGTATGTGTGTCTGTATGTGTGTATATAACTCATGTATGTGTTGACAGAAAGAGAGGATGGGGAGATAGAGAGAGGATGGGAGGAAGAGAGATGGAGAAAGAAAGAATGGAAGTCAGAGAAAGGACAGAGAAATGTAAGCATAAGCAAATATATACTGTGATGGAGCAATATCATCCTCAGAAATAACTGCTACCTTGACCTTGAAGGCTGACAGTCCTAGATCTGTCCTCGGTGCTCACTTTCCATGAATGAGTCAACAACTGACATGAATGAGTCAACAACTGACATGAATGAGTCAACAACTGACATGAATTGGTCAACAACTGACATGAATGGGTCAACAACTGACATGAATGAGTCAACAACTGACATGAATGAGTCAACAGCTGACATGAATGAGTCAACAACTGACATGAATGAGTCAACAACTGACATGAATGAGTCAACAACTGACATGAATGAGTCAACAACTGACATGAATGAGTCAACAACTGACATGAATGAGTCAACAACTGACATGAATGAGTCAACAACTGACATGAATGAGTCAACAACTGACATGAATGAGTCAACAACTGACATGAATGAGTCAACAACTGACATGAATGAGTCAACAGCTGACATGAATGAGTCAACAACTGACATGAATGAGTCAACAACTGACATGAATAAGTCAACAACTGACATGACTGCACTTGGGGCAGTAGCTCACTTTCCATGAATGAGTCAACAATTGACATGAATGAGGTAACAGCTGACATGACTGCACTCGGGGCAGTAGCTCACTTTCCATGAATAAGTCAAAAACTGGCATGAATGAGTCAAAAACTGACATGAATGAGTCAACAACTGACATGAATGAGTCAACAACTGACATGACTGCACTCGGGGAAGTAGCTCACTTTCCATGAATGAGTCAACAACTGACATGACTGCACTCGGGGCAGTAGCTCACTTTCCATGAATGAGTCAAAAACTGACATGAATGAGTCAAAAACTGACATGAATGAGTCAACAACTGACATGAATGAGTCAACAACTGACATGACTGCACTCGGGGAAGTAGCTCACTTTCCATGAATGAGTCAACAACTGACAGGAATGAGTCAACAGCTGACATGACTGCACTCAGGGCAGTAGCTCACTTTCCATGAATGAGTCAACAACTGACATGAATAGTCAACAACTGACATGAATGAGTCAACAGCTGACATGAATGAGTCAACAGCTGACATGAATCAGTCAACAACTGACATGAATGAGTCAACAGCTGACATGATTGAGTCAACAGCTGACATGAATGAGTCAACAGCTGACATGAATGAGTCAACAACTGACATGAATGAGTCAACAACTGACATGACTGCACTCGGGGCAGTAGCTCACTTTCCATGAATGAGTCAACAACTGACATGAATGAGTCAGCAGCTGACATGACTGCACTCGGGGCAGTAGCTCACTTTCTATGAATGAGTCAACAACTGACATGAATGAGTCAACAACTGACATGAATGAGTCAACAACTGACATGAATGAGTCAACAACTGACATGAATGAGTCAACAACTGACATGAATGAGTCAACAGCTGACATGAATGAGTCAACAGCTGACATGAATGAGTCAACAGCTGACATGAATGAGTCAACAGCTGACATGAATGAGTCAACAGCTGACATGAATGAGTCAACAACTGACATGAATGAGTCAACAGCTGACATGATTGAGTCAACAGCTGACATGAATGAGTCAACAGCTGACATGAATGAGTCAACAACTGACATGAATGAGTCAACAACTGACATGACTGCACCAGGGGCAGTAGCTCACCAGGGAAAGCCACAGAGCACATGTGGAAAAGGACCTAAGTGCAGTCCCATCAATTCTTGATTTATTCATTCATTGGTTTTACCCTGGACAAACTTTCAAGAAGACTGTCTATTTATAGCCTAGATAACCTCCAGTTCTTCCACTCTTCATCTGTCCTTTCTTCAGTTTTCAGGGTCAGGTCATCTAAGTTCCTCTCATCCATTAAGAGTCCAGTATATCAGCCGGTACTCAGCATATGCAGCAGTACATCAGTAGCCAGTGTCTAAGTTACTGTGTCAGTCGATCAGCCAGTACATAGATTGGCAGCCAGTAGTGAGTTACTGTGTCAGTCGATCAGCCAATACATAGATTGGCAGCCAGTAGTCAGTTACTGTGTCAGTCGATCAGCCAATACATAGATTGGCAGCCAGTAGTCAGTTACTGTGTCAGTCGATCAGCCAATACATAGATTGGCAGCCAGTAGTCAGTTACTGGTCAAGCATACCAGCACACATGTTTTCAACTCTTGAATTACCTCTAGGATACTTGTGACGCCATGGTTTCTTGGAGTCTCTCAAAACCTCATCGTCCCCATCCTTACTGATGGATAACTGTTTCAGCAAATATGCATGTTTTTCTTGGAGATCCTGGTAGATTTTCAATAACATTATGTTAGAAACTTTTAATCCTTTCACCCCACTGACCTAGAAAAAATATACTAAAGACCCATAATTTTAGAAAATGGAAAAATATTCCTTTAGAAAAAAAAAACCTTTACAAAGGTCACACAGAAAATAATTACAATTATGGACTGAACAATGTTAAACTTTACACAAAATATGCAGTAATAAATAAAAATAACAGGGCAGAGAACTAAATAGGTTTAATCGCTTGGAGCCTTGAAAATTTTTTTTTGGTACGACCCTTCTTGACCCCGTACCCTGACGGTGACCTCTATAAATAACGGAAATTCTACAGTCCTTATTTCTATAAATGACGCCATTTTCCACAAGGAAGTTCAACTTAAATAAATGCTATTTTTAGCAACTATGCTCGTTACTGGTCATTCTGAAAAAGAAGCCTAGGATAAAAAAGGAAGCAATGCTGTAAGCGAGGCTTCTTGTTAAAAAAAAAAGCCTCTATAGCAAGCAGAGAAAGGAACATTTATGGGGCTGCAGCACAAACCTTAAGTCAGGGTTTTGTGATTCTCGGAGCAACTGGGTTAAGTGTACCTGTCTTTAAGATATAAAATATTCGGATCACTCCAAACTCCAGATGCTATTCAAAAATATAAATGTTCTTTGCAATGAAAAAGTCAAATTTTGCCCAACATTTTCCTTAAAAAAAAAAAAAAAAATAACAGTGACAGATAAAGAGCAAAACATATACACACACACACATACACACAGAAAATTAAATCTTAATTGTTCATAATAAAGATTTTCTTTTGTTACAATGTTGTAAATAAACAACCTTAAAGGCATGTTAGTGCATTGGCTAGCATGCTTGCTGCCAGGTTGGCAGTCATAATTCTATTCTAGCCAGGCAGATTTTTAAAACCTCAAACACAGCTTAAACCGACGACCTCAGAAATCAAGATGTCAACTGACATATTGGACTAATACAAAAAAAAGACCTTGCAAAACTAGGATCATTGCTTTCCACCTTTATAAAAATTGATATTCGCTATTATCATTTTCTGTACAATATGCAATTTTTGCAGAGAAGGGGACAGAGACACAGTGATAATTAGTATTTCTAATTATGAGGGGAAGTCAATAATTAACTCACAAATGGTTATAGGATGGCAGGAAAGTAGTTGGTGGTTTCTAAAGGGTCATTAGGGGAGAGCAACATCAAACTTTATGTCTCTGTTTGTTAGGTGGCGCTAGGTGTTGCTTACACATTTGCAACATAGAAATAAAATGGTGATTGTACTTACAGAGTGTATCCTCAAAAAACAAGGTGCTGTTTTTTTTTTGGGGGGGGGGGGGGGCAAAAAAAGCTGCCTGCAAAGGACATTCACAAGTAAATTTTTCCTGTTTATACTGACAAATGTTTATCCCCTTAAGCTGTGCATAGCTGGGTAAAAAAAAATTGTTTCTCAAGGATGCTCTAAAATTGTTAATGAAGTCCTATCTAGTCATCCTGTTGAAATTGCAAGAGACGCATCCATGCAGCGGGTGGAGGAGATGATTAGAGGTGACAGGCGTGTAATGGTTGACTCTTTAGCAGCTGCAATAGGGTGCTCACATGGCTTAGCATACAACATAATGCATGATCAAGTGAAATTCAAGAAAGTGTGCTCAAGGTGGGACCCCAGACAGTTGAATGTCAACTGAAAATGTGGTTTCGAAAATAGAGCACACAGTTCTATGCAGCAGGTCTGGGAGGACTGATAAACCTATGGGACAAGTGCATCAATGCTGGTGAAAATTAGGTTGAAAAATAAAGGGACATTCTATGTGTAATTATAAACAGTTTTCAAGTTGTTAAAGTTTTTTTTTTTTTTTTTTAAACAACCATTTGTGACTTACTTATTGACTTCCCCTCGTACGACCATCTAGAGTGTTAGATTTTCTTTTTCTTCCCTTTTGTCCTAAGAGTGAGGTTTTGGCCTTACTGCCCACTGAAGCCAGCCCTTTATAATCTTTGACAAATGATAAACAGCCATTGCCAGGCTGTTTCCTGCATTTTTTCTTCAGCTTCCCTTCTCCAGCAACAGTAAAATGTTCAATTTAAGCTAGGTTCAATTTAAGTAAACATTTCTTTCCAGTGGTAAAATTATCAATATCATTAGGTGTCAGAATGTGAATATGACCCCAATTGTCAAGACCTGATTATAACACATAAGGTTTTTGATTCCTGATACATATGTGATAATAACTGCAAAAGAACAAAAATGATTGACATAACGTTATCATATGGAATAACACACCAAAAATAACAATGCAAAACTGAACACAAGTGATATGTCAGAGAACCTACTCTACACTTATCTCACTAGGATGTAAATTAGAGATACATACCTTATAATCTTTAATCAAATTGTCATGAATTTCTTTACGTTTTTGGTTGGTGAATTTTTTTTCTGAAGCCATCAACAGATCTTTCACATCACCTGATAGAACTAATTCACCAATGTATACAGTTTGAACTTTAGAAGCTTAATACAATATAATTCTATCAATAAATATGATAAAAAGCTGAAGGAGCAGAATCATGAAATATCTGTAGATCCATACACACACACATATAAGTAATTTTTACACCATAAATAAATGTGTATATAAACAGGAGCAGTGAGAAATTAATAGTGAGAAAGGGAATATAAAGAGTTGCCAACTAAAATGTGAATCAAACAAGGAAGAGTTAATACAGCAGTGAACATAGGCTGCCATATTTTACCCCATTAAATCTACAGGTATTCTGTGAAACAAATGTAACTACAGTTTCGAACCAGCTGATTAAACAGCAAACCATTTGCCAAGTAGTCAGCAAAGAAAAGGAGGAGCCTTTTTCTGGAGTCTTTATTGCTGTGTGATAGTTGGACAGGACAAGACACACTGAATCTACTAATTAGTTGTGTTGTAGTTAGACAGCACTGTATCTACCACTTAGCTGTGTGATAGTTGGACAGGACAGACACACTGCATCTGTCAGTTGTCTTATAGTTAGACAGGACAAGATACACTGCATCTGTCAGTTGTGTGATAGTTGGACAAGACAAGACACACTGTATCTGTCAGTTGTGTGATAGTTGGACAAGACAAAACACACTATCTGTCAGTTGTGTGATAGTTGGACAAGACAAAACACACTGTATCTGTCAGTTGTGTGATAGTTGGACAAGACAAAACACACAGTATCTGTCAGTTGTGTGATAGTTGGACAAGACAAAACACACTGAATCTGTCAGTTGTGTGATAGTTGGACAAGACAAAACACACAGTATCTGTCAGTTGTGTGATAGTTGGACAAGACAAAACACACTGTATCTGTCAGTTGTGTGATAGTTGGACAAGACAAAACACACTGTATCTGTCAGTTGTGTGATAGTTGGACAAGACAAAACACACTGTATCTGTCAGTTGTGTGATAGTTGGACAAGACAAAACACACTGTATCTGTCAGTTGTGTAATAGTTGGACAGGACAGACACACTGTATCTGTCAGTTGTGTAATAGTTGGACAAGAAAAACAAAACTGTGTCTGTCAGTTGTGTAATAGTTGGACAAGAAAAACAAAACTGTGTCTGTCAGTTGTGTGATAGTTGAACAAGACAAAACACACTGTATCTGTCAGTTGTGTAATAGTTGGACAAGACAAAACACACTGTATCTGTCAGTTGTGTGATAGTTGGATAAGACAAAACACACTGTATCTGTCAGTTGTGTGATACTTGGACAGGACAAGACACACTGCATCTGTCAGTTATATGATACTTGGACAGGACAAGACACACTGTATCTGCCAGTTGTCTGATAGTTAGACAGGACAAGACAAACTGCATATGTCAGGTGTGTGGTAGTTGAAGAGGATAAGAGACACTGCATCTGTCAGTTGTGTCAATGGACAGGACAAGACACACTGCATCTGTCAGTTGTATGGTAATTGGACAAGACAAGACACACTGATCTTTCAATTGTGTGGTAGTTGGACAGGAGAAGTCAGACCACATCTGTCAGTCGTGTGACAGTTGAACAGGACAAGACACACTGCATCTGCAAGTTGTTGTTGGACAGGACAAGAGACGATGCATCTACTAGTTAGATTTAAAAAATTACTAGTAAAATAGAATTCTCTATGGACAGCTTAGAAATGACACTACTGCGAGGAATCAGATTTACACTGGCTCAAATTAATGGACATTATGTGACAGAGAACCAAAAGAATGAAGGAATTTAAGCTGTACAAAATCCAGTTATCAAGGAAAGGTGTGTCACTTGCATACAGAATATTTTATAAATGATAGGCCTATAAGAACTAGGGTCAATCCCCGGCATAGAGTAGATCAAAAGCAAAGAGAATGGCCTTTTGTCAAGTCTTGTCACTTCTTCTATGTGAAACTATTTTCAAGACGAGCCAACTCTGTATGTGAACTTTAGTGTATGTAAATCCATGGAACGAGTAAAGAACTCAGGCCCAGCTACACACTTACGGGTGACGAAGTTGGGCCAGGATACTCTGACTGGACACTCATTAATGCGTCTTAACCTTTGAGACAGCAGGGGTGCCAGCTTGCTGCGATGTTCTATAGCTCTGACACTTACCAGTGACCATATGTACTCTATATTTCAGGATGTGAGAGCTTTTAACGACCCCATAACATGGACAACTGGCCCTAACCCCAACATTCTACATCCCCTGGTTTCTGACTTCTTAACATTTTGTGGTGGCCTGCAAAAGGCTGTGCTGCTGCAGACAGGCAATGCCACCCTCCTTGCGCCCTCCAAAGTTGACAGCTGGAATAAACTCATTTCCTACTGAAAATCTTAGACGGCTGTCATATACCCACCAACAAAAACTAAGTCTGCTTACAAGTGAGAATGCAGATTAACGATTAATGCACAGAAAACGATGTGAATAGAGCAGTACACTGAGACACCCCTCTAACCTTGAGCAACGTTGACCAAACTGAGCAAGCATCAATGAAAGGTCACCTAGTGTGTATATCGGCCCAAGTTCATTACTAGTAATGTAAATCCTAGTTGAACATCGACCTCAGCTCCAAACAATGTGTGTGTGTGTGCACACATGCGTGCAAACATGCATGTGTGTTTCAGAGAGAGACAGAGAGAGAGAGAGAGAGACAGAGAGCGTGTGTGTGCCAGCTAAAAATGTACTAGTTAAGTTTCCAGAATAAAATCAACATTCAGATTATCAACCAATACTTTATCAGTCAGATGTGCCAATTTGTTAGCCAGCATTGAGAATATCAACCAATACTTCATCTGTCGTGTCTAAAGAATACATCCTTAATCCTAATGTGCCAGTTTGTCAGCCAACACTCAGATATCAATTAGTAATTGCAATTTACCAGTGTCAAGCCTGACAGACTACATATTTACATAGATTACAAGACAGATTTTACCCCTTGTATTCTCAGCTCTCTTCAAGCTAGCTGCAAATTCCTTGACTTTATCAGATGGGCTCATCGACATGCATATATCGTTCACTTCCACAAATTCTGCAAATTCCTGGCATGAAAAATGAGCTGTGTAGTATTATGTCATTTAAATTTTAACCTGTACATGCTCAAACAAAATGTTCATGTTACTTGTCTTATTCACTTCCTAAGAAGGCAAATCTAGGAAAGAAAAATGTTTTTTCTCAGGAGCTGACATGTACAAAAGTGTAATTAATTATAGGCTTGTTGGAACTCAATCTTCTATATTTTACCTTGTTAGAACTAAATATTATATATTTAGAGTTTTATGTATTACCTTGCTGGAACTCAATATTATATATATGGAATTCTGCATATTACCTTGTTGGAACTCAATACGTGCTATAGAATTCTATATACTACCTTGCTGACATTATATTTTATATAGAAATATATTTATATTTGCCAGATAAGTGTGAGTGAGTGCTGCACCTTTACTACGATCACCGAAAATCTAACACTGAACAATTACTGATTTTGGTACAAAATGTGGTACTTTTTTTGAAGGGAGGAAACAAAAGGTGTTGGTTGAAGAGAATCCATTGGACTGAATGATGCAAATCAAAGGGGCTCCACTCCAAGGAATCAAGTATGGTCATGTTAACACACAAGCTCTATGTTCCAGGTTTTTGACAGTGAATAAAAGACAGTGGAAGCTTCAGCCATTGTGCTGGTATGTAGACTTCTGAGTCTACAGAGAAATCCACTAAAAGCTGGCAAGCAGCTGGTGACTACACTGACAATCTTGTGGTTATTCTATTATTTTTGCTAAAGTGCAGTGCAAGCTGCATTTGGTGCAGGAGTAAAGGCATCCTTTGTTCAACAGACACCAAAGTGACTACCAGCAGGCTCTGTGGAGAGCCTTGAGCACGGCCAGGCACCTACGAAGCCCTGGTCATCCACAGCACCAGAGTTCAGCTCCATACGTACTGATTCGTCTTGCCACTGGACTTAGATGGACTTGGGCGAGAGACTGATGTCGATGAACTGCACAGCTCTTCTTCACCACTGCACAAGTCATCCTTGTATCCAGCCCTCATTGGATAAAAGGACTGGTCTTCACCACTGCGCAAGTCATCCTTGTATCCAGCCCTCACTGGATAAAAGGACTGGTCTTCACCACTGCACAAGTCATCCTTGTATCCAGCCCTCATTGGATAAAAGGACTGGTCTTCATCACTTGTGAGGGACAAACATCATCATCAAGGGTATGCTGCGGGTGTTTTCCAAGGTCAGAGAGAAACCCAGAGCCCAATGTGTGACTCCAGGCTAGAAGTACATCCTGTAACTACCACTATCTGTTGAGAGGTGAGCCGGTGAGCTGCTTATCTAGATGGCAAGCCAGCCAGTCTTTACATACTATAGCAGATGTTTCCGTACAGGAAATACTGGTCAGCTAGGAACAGTTACTCTTAGTTAGAAGAAAGGCATGGGGGTTCACTGAAAAAACAAATAGAAAATGCTTAGTGCAACAAAGTCTAGTGTATGATGGTATGACAGCTATTTGTAGAGTGGAGAGGGAGGCAGTCAAAGCAGCTTTCTGCTGTCTTGAGGACCAGCTGCACACAGGTCGTCTTTGTAACTGACTCATAACACGTGTTAGGAAAGGTGGAGACAGGCATGCTCTGCGCAGGGTGGCAATCATCCCTTCAGAGGTCATGGATAGTCAGCATTCTTTTGATATTTTCTCTGGGGCATACAGGAGTGTTGGCAATTGAACAGGGAGACAGAATGGCTGATTCCTAACCACAAACTAGACGTTGTCAAGGCCTTTTGGAGCAAAGGAACAATGTGCATGTATGAATAGATCATTAAGGTCTAGACAGAATGGTACAGCTGGGAGACACTGGGGATCTGGTCGATACTCTACACTTAGAGGAAAGGCAAGACAAAATTATAATCCAAATGCAACTGGCATTATCAATAATGTACAGTTGTAGCTTGTGTGTATGTGGTCTTTT